CAGGAGAGAGATGAGGCTGCCTGTTCCCATAAAAATGCACAGCCTCAGAAAAACTAGAGAACAGTCTTACGCTGATGAATAGCACCATTATGAGTCAGAAGCTACCCAATGGCAATGGATTTTTTGTTTTTGTGTATACACGAACACACATGCACCGTTGTATGTGCATAGATACATATACACATATGATACACATATGAGGATACTTCAAAACGTTCATGGAAAATGGAATTAAAATATAACTGAAACTTTCCATAACTGGTGTCTTCTTATACTACCTCCTCAGTTTCTAATGTTCTTTCTTTTGCCATCCACTTGTTCCTGTTTTATAAAGTTTCCTTCTTTCTTATTCACTACTTGCTATCAGTTTATCCGACCGTGGTAGTTTGCATGTTACCAGAAGCTGTGTCACTGGCATTTTCAAATGCCAAGAGGGTTACAAAAGGACACAGGTTTCAGCAGAGCTTCCAGACCAAGAACAGACTACACAGAAGGGTTGAAACCCTTACAGACAGCATTGACACATTGTGACTCACTAAAGACCTCACAAGTAGACGCAGAGATAGAGTGGCAGAAGAGGAGCCCCTAGGATGCGAAGGCACTCAAAATCAGAGTGAGCAAGAGCTGGCGTCTCAAAGTAGAGTTTACCATAATGATGAGGATGGCGTAAAGCCTGTGGGAGGAAAGCCTTCAGGGCCTTCATGCTATCACGCCGAAGGGACATGACTCAAATAATAAGTGGGATTTGGAATGTACAAAGTATGAATCTAGGAAAGTTGGACATTTAAAACTGAACTAGAATACATAAAGATTGATAGCCTTGGCATTTGTGAGGAGAAATGGACTAGCACTGGCCATTTTGAATCAGAAAAGCTTATGGTTTACTCTGCTGAATGACTGATCAGCAGCAATTGCATTACATTCATCTTCAAAAAGGGTAGAAAGACGGGGCTTTCAACTCTCATAAGGAGCTACAGTCTCAGAGGCTCATCAGGGCAGTTCTATTCCGTCCCACAGGGGCTGTAGGAGGCAGCGTCGACGGGATGGCAGTGAGAAGTGCAGGGAGCCACCAGCAGCTCTTTGGGAGAAAGAGTAGGCTTTCTACTCCTGTAAAAAATTTCAGTCTCAAAAACCCAAAAGGTGAGTTCTACTATCCACACACAAAGAAATCCGGTCACTACAAAAATTATTGCAATTTATGGACCAACCACTAAAGCTAATGGTGAAGAAATTGGAGAATTTTTACCAATGTCTTTTGTCTGGAATTAATCAAACATGCAATCAAGATGTACTGATAAGTATTGGTGATTCAAATTCAAATTTTGGAAAGAAAGAGGAAGGAACATTAGTTGGAAATATATAGTCTTAGTGACAGAAATGAAACTAGTGATAGTGTGATAGAATTTTGCAAGACCAACAATTTCTTCATTGCAAATGTCTTTTTTTCAATAACACAAACGGTGGTACCCATGGATTCTGTGGATGGCATACACATAAATCAAACAGACTATATCTTTGAAGAGATGATGAAGAAGTTTGCTATCAGTAGCTACAATGCTCCAACTGTGGAACATACCATCAATTTCTCATATGCAAGTTCAAGTTGAAGCTGAAGAAAATTAAAGCAAGTCCATGAGAACCAAAATAAGATAAGCCTATCCCACCTGAATTTCAAGAACATCTCAAGAAAGATTTAATGCATTGAACCTTTCTGACAGAAGATGTGATGAGCTGTGGGATGACATTAAGAACATCATACATGTAGAAAGTAAAAGGTCATTAAAAAAGACAGGAAAGAAAGAAATGATCAAAGTGATGTCAGAAGAGACTCTGAAATGTGCTCTTAATTATAGGGTGGCTAAGACAAATGGAAGAAATGATGAAATGAAGGAGTTTAATAGAAAATTTCAAAGGACATAAAGAAAAGGGAAGAACAAGCTTGGCATATCTTAAACTGAGAGAGCTCAAGAAAAGAGTCAAGCTTCAAGTTGTAATATTCAAATATGCTGTGGGA